CATAAATATACTAGAAAGGGGAGAGGCACATGTAGAAGTGAATAGGGATGGTCAAAAGCATTTAGTAGCCTAAATTCTATTTATTTTAATGGGAATCAGTGACAGAAATAGGAGTCAGGCAATTAAATACCTTTGAAGATAAAGGTCCTAGTGTTTATTCACTTGACACATGTCTATTTTAGCTCAGTGTCACAGGGATAATGGGGATCTAAAGTAAAATGGTCATTGTAACACACAGTTTTGATTTGGCTCAAGGAATTTAAAGATTGTAAAATTAAATAGTATTGACAATACAAAAATTCTTTTGTGAAATGTATTCTTCTTGGTGTAGGTGTGAGCAAAGATTAGCAGGTGGTAAGTAATAATTATTTTTCTTGAGGGGCATCAGGATAATCTGCAGGTGGGATAGTGGAAAGACCTCAATGCACCCCAATGTTAACCAGTTTGTTGGCTTTGATTATCAAATGATCTATTAACAATGTTTTGCCCTAGGCTATGGCCAAAATAATAAAAAGGGTCATCTCGTAATTAATTTAGAATTCCATTTTTGGCAAATGAGTCTTCCTAATACTGCCTTTGTAACTAGTTTGGGAAAACCTTCCCCCTCATTCCACATAAAGTAGTGCATCCTAGGTTATGTTGTCCGCATTTTATTGGAATCCAACCTGTTTGCATGTCCTTCTGTCACTGTCTATATCTGAGGCAAAGGATAGACTACAGATTTTTCCACGTACACTGATACGGTTGAGCAGCATGGTAAGTGGGATGCATAGACCTAGTTGAACCATGGTTGTACAATGAAAACTCAAACGTGTTTAGTAACTACATTAGATGAGTGCCACACTTTTCCAAACCATGTTGGGGGCTTGTTCTTGATAGTTCCTTCCCAGCAGTAGAACTCCTTCCTGTTCTGGCCTGTCACAGCCTGAGCCTGGACATTTCTTCCAAAAACATTGTAAACCCTTTTTGATTTGGGCAGGCCTTTAGGTGGCAGGGTTGAGTTTTGGATCATTTTATGGAGAGTTTGTTCTAATACATATTACTTTTGTTTAATATTTTCATCTGTCTTTATAATTTATCTGGGTCTTTATTGTAAGTCACCCTGAGCCTGTCTTTGGGAGAGCAGCATATAAATAAATAGACCTTCAGGCCCTGATTTTACAATTGTGGATCTGTGTCTTCGCAGAGCCAAGGGCAGGAAAAGATTTCTATTAATGCTGCTCTTTCTTGTTTATACATGCTGCTGCTGTCTGAGTTAAGACCTTGTTTATACTGAGGTGTATCAGCAATTTAACTAAATTTGGTTTACTAAAATGTGTTTAAAATTTGCCATGTCTATTTAGTTTGTAAAATAGGCTACTCTTGAAACTACAGTAAAGTGTGTCTACATACAAATTTGAATCAGTCTACCTTACATAGGTTAGAAACACACATACTGAATCAAATCAGTATGCGTTTGCTTGGAGACAAAGCCTTACACGTGCAAGCTAAATGGTAAACGAGGCTTCAGTTAAATTAGAAATGTCCACACATGGGTTTGTACTCATCTAACATGGTTTAAAACGCATGCCTAGTTAATAAAATACTACTTGGTAACAAAACAGGCTTCAGCCTTGAAGAAAAATGTACTTGGCCAATAGCAGCAGTTGCAAATAGGCAAACTTACTACATTCATCATGGTATGTTGTTATCTATTTATCAACTTCAAAGTCTTTTTAAATTGCTGACAACTTTCCTGTTCCCTAAAACAAAACAAAACAAAACAAAAAAGAAGTCAAATACACATATTCATTGTAATGGTAATGGTTTACAATGAAAGATAGGAAGTCAGGGAACATAGCAGTTAAGGTCTTTAGATTAACATTAATTTACATACATTGGGACTGATTAGGCTACTTAACAAGTAGTATCTGTGGAACAAAGAAATTATTTTCCGTGATAAAACTGAATGTTTGCATTTCCTTACTTGTTAAAATATCTAACCTAAATGTTGTACAAGTACATATCATTTTACACTTGAACCCTAATTTTGTAATGGATGCAGGGACCAGCCCAGAAGGAGGTAAATATAAAATTGGATGCTTAGTTTACATGTGTCACACTAGTGGATATCATATCTTTACATCAATTCTTTCTTTGTGGAAATATAATTAAAACTATGCTTGTGAAAAGTAAGCAGAAAGGGGAGAAGTCTAAACTCAAATTTAACAGAATAAATCTCAGGGTGGAAAAGGCCCCAAACCCTCTTTAATACTTTTGCAGCTGGGTAAACCAGGGGTTCCCAAACTGTGGTACATATACCCCCAGGGGTACACAAGACATCTCTGGGGGGTATGCAGGAGAAATTGTGAACTGGTGGATTTAATTTTTATTATAATCATAATTGGCATTGAAGGGTTTAAAATATAAAACAGATGCTGCTAAGGGTACATGGGTAGCTGGTAAATCTGGAAGAGGGTACACAATAGTAACAAGTTTGGGAACCTCTGGTGTAGATTAAGAAGATTCATGTATTGTTCTTAGTCTAAAAACAGAATTCCACATTTTTTCTTAAAAGGTGTCTAAAAGATTGTTAATTTCTTTCCTTTTTAATTTTTTTCTTTAAACAAACAAATAATAACAAGCCTCTAAGCCTTGAAGTTACATTTTTGCTATTTTATTTTTAGGAATTGCATAATTTTTTAAACAGAAAAAAGAGAGAACTATGATAGCTTGTTCTGACTTATGCTTGTAAGATCAGAAAAAACAGTTCTGATTAAATTGAATGGAGTCCTTAAACCAGGTTGTATAACTAGCAAAAAGGTGTCATTAAGAAACATTGTGTATTATTTTGCCCTTAAATATTAAATTTCTATTTACACATTAAAATGTTTGTTTATAAGGTAGAGTTTTAGGTAACCTGCCCTCAATAAGGTTTCTTAGCTGGGACAGGCAGGAAGCAGGGTAGGGTGGTGATTTAGAGATTATTAATTAATTCAGAAAGGAAAGCTTGTGCAGGTGAAATCTACTTTAGGGGTGACAACCTACTACCTGCAAGCCAAATCTAGGCCATGGAGCCATGACATCTGGCCTGCAGAGCTCCCCATGGATTGGGAAATTTGGTGGTAGGAAAGGATAGCTACACCTTTCTGCTGCTGCCAGATTTTCAAGCCCCACATACCTGGATGCAGGCCCAGCCAGGTCAGTCTGCTGCCATGTAGACTGACCTGGGTCCCAGGTTGCTGGATCTGGCCAGAATGGATCTGGGCTGTTGGGGTGGTCCATGTGCCGGATGGGCCCTTGCTGTGTCTGCTCCATGCTCTGGATTGGGCTTGCTGGCTGGATCCAGCCTGCAATCAGACCTTCCACTGCCCATCTGGCCCCTGGTCTACTTAATTGGAAGCACAATAGTTTATGTGTTTTTGAATGAGTTAGTTTCCAAATTGCTACCCTGTCCCACTTTCTGCCTGACTTTAGACTAGCATGGCTAACTACCTTTCTATACTGTTAGCTGGAACAGTAAGACAATTTTGAAACTGTAAGAATCAAACCTGCCTGAGTAAATGACAACGTATGAAGCCTCCTCTATTACTGGAAAAAAACATTTAAAAAATCAGCCATTGGTGCCTTTTTTCCTCGTATTATTTCTTAATGCAGCTACTTCGGATTCTTAAAAGTATGACAGTTAAAATAACAATAGACTTTGAGTTTTATTAATTTTGTTTTAAAGAATGGGGAAGTTCAGCTATTATCAGATAAGCCTTATGTGCGGACTTAAGTACCCTTGTAGCCCCACCAAAGTTAGTATGAATATTCACACTAGTTATGTCTAACCTAGTGGCGGGCAACCTTTTTAGACTGGAGACACCCTTTGATAAACTCAAGGCACCCTCAGGAAATACCAGCTCCTAGTTTTCAAGTGTTTCTTGATGACGGAAAAATAGTAGAGCCATTCTTCCTTTGCGAAGAACTCACAAAGACTGCAATGGATCAGTCTCATCATAACACTGCCGATTCCTATTTGAAACCTCTGGGTTTACTGTGCAAGTTTGGACCTGCACGCCCCACAGTGCTAATGCTGCGTGGCACCCCATTGCACCCCAGGGTGCTGCGGCATCCAGCTGGAGAATCACCTGTCTAACCTGTCTGTGCCTGGAGGGTTGGGCCCATTATCTAAGCAGAACTTGAAGGTTGTGATGTGAAAAACCTTCTGGGTGCCCCCGTTAAGACAAACTACGTGGTGCCCAGAAACCGCTTTGACACCATCTGCCTCAGCTGCCAGATAGGACAAGGCAGCCGATCGGACCAGCAGCCCAGGCACCGAAGGATCTGCTCCCTGACTTAGCCCATGGGGACTGCAGGGCTGCTTTCCTGCTCTTCGTCCCATCACTTCTCCCAGTGGTTTCACTGAGCAGCGTCCACCGGCTCCTTGGAGTCTCTGGAGGGCTGGCAGGTGCTGTCCAGTGTGCTCTGCTCAGCTCCACTTTCCCGATTCCTGATTCTGAACCTGTGACCTTGCTCCCTTCCCTGTTTCCTTGGCTGCTGTCCCAAGGAATTGACCGTGGCTTTCTCAGCAGCCTCCCTAAAGGTGGCTGATAGTCACTCTTGATCCCCTGAAAGTAACAAGCAGGCCTGTCCCTGACCTGTCCCCCCGCCCGGCTCCCTGAGGCCCCAAAGTGGGTGGGATCGGAGCCCCCATGAGAGGAAACATGCGGCCCACCCCAGCCTTTGCATGACCAGGGACAGGCGGCTTCGCGGGTGGGGCTGCGTGTGCGTGGGGACGGGTCACGGAGCAACTCCCCCCTCGATGTGTGCGTGTGTCTGTGTCTGTAACAGGGCCAGGCCCGAGCCGAGCCGGCCAGTGTCGCGGACGTGAGAGGCGCAGCGCAGCTCCGCGCAGGGGGCGGAGCGTCGCCCCTCCCCCACACGGGTTGCCCGGCGGCAGCGGCGGGGTCACGGCGGCGGCGGGGTCAGAGGGTAAAGGTCGCTCCCCCAGCATCCTCCGTGCTGGGGACTCAGCCATCTTGGATCGGCGGGACAAGAAAATTCATGCGGTGAGTCCGGCCCCCCGCACCCCCGCGGGCCCTGCGCCGTGCTCCCCCGCCT